ACACGTGCTAAGATAGAAGATAGTAAAACTTAGTAGAGTAGCCTGCTTGCTTATCTAGCCTGCTTACTTATTAACTACGTTAGAAGATAAAATAATAAGGTTTATAATATAAATATTTCTTCTATATCTTCTACTAGTACTTTAGCTACTATATCTATTAATAATTACTATAGATTATAAGCCTAAAAGATATAAAACTTATAGAGAAAGATCGTTTTTTAGAAAATACTATAATACTCTATAATAACTAGAAACACTATAATTCTACTTTACTAACCTTAAGTTATAAGAAAAGTAATAAATAATAAATGAATAATTGTGCTTTAGTATTTGCCGATGCTGGTAGTAGACGTTTCCGGCGACGGTGAATACGTCGGTACGTCGGTGCGGGGTAGCATTCCTTAGCCGCCACTACCATTCCAGAACTAATCAGGAGACTGCAAAGTAAACGCATCTACGGCTCACTATAGAGTAAGCCAACTCCGTTTGCGAAAGTGCGACCGAGCTGCAGCTGGCGAGCCGTTGATCTCTTGTCTTCTCATAAGCTTAGCTCTCCGTTTTCTCATCATTTACACGACAAGCTAAGTAATCTATATCAGAGGGTGAAAACATGTATAAGTGCAGAAATATTTAGAATTGGCCGGGCTTCAATAGATAGAATCAACTCTTATAATATAACTAGATAACTAAGTCTAAGTAGAGCTACTTTAATACCTTTTAGTAGTCCTTGCTCTCGTTTTAAAAGAAGAAACAATTTTGTGATTATCTTACTATTAAGTAAAATTATTATTAAATCACATTTTACACGATCTCTTGCCCTAGCCCTTAGACCTAAATACGCTGGATGTCCCAGCGGCGGGCAGGATCACCAGGATCGGGTGTCACAATCTTGACGTCTTGGTCCCACGCACCGACGACCCGGTCGTTATGATTGACAAGGCTGATGGTGCCCATGTTTGGATCGTACTGGAATTGCTGGCCATCGCCACAGTAGCCCTCCTGTGTGGCGGTAGACTCGGGTTGGAGGTTTTTGAAGGTGAGGTAGAGGTTTGAGCGCACGTTGACGAGGCGGCGGTCCTGGCAGGTCCAGCGCTGGTTGTCGTTGTTGCTCGGTTTATAGTTATAGTCAATGATAGGATTGCCGGCGTCGGGGGAAGAGTCCTTGTCGTCGAGCACGCGGCCGTTTTCGCGGTTGCGGATGATGAACTGGCCGTCGGGGAAGGACATTGTTACGGAGTTATAAAGAGTATAGTCAGATTCAGAAGAATATAGAGTATACTTTACACAACTAGGTATGTCTTACACGGGGAGTTGCTCGTACTTATATAGCTAATCTTAGAATGAGATAGATATACTAGTTACTATGTAAGAAAAATGTAAAAGTTTACTACATAGAATAACGTAGTCTATTACCTTATAGTGATATCACCTGCTGATCTACTAAATGTTATAATGAGGGGTATATACCGTTTACTACGGAATAAAGACGTAAGAGTTTACTATATAGTATAACATCTGCCTAAAACTACGAGGTTAGAGTTATTAGTATATTAGGGTATAGAAAGTAGTTCTATATTATATATATAGCTAAGTATTACTAAAGTCTACTAAAAAGTTAAACCTTTACTACTTGTAATAACCTTTGCTCTTTATAATAACCTTTACTGTTTATAATATGCCTTTGCTACTTGTAATAAGCCCTTGTTTTCTGCAATAGCAAAAGGCAGCTCTTTGGTCCTGTAAATGCATATGACTTGACCCTGAATCTGATATAGTATTGTGTAAGAGATTGAGCAGCGTCCCAATGTAAGTAGCTGATTTAGTTATCACGGCCAGGAATCAAGTTATCTTCCGAGTCTGAACTAGGCTTATCTGCCCTCGCGACGAATAAATAGCTTATATATAGTTTAACGTCCTGTCTTTCGGCCTTGAGCCCCCCCGATCGCAAAGCCGTTCTAGAAAGGCTGTTCGCTATAAATCTAGGTTCGAGTACGCCACGCTTGACTTCTTTCACGAGTTCGGCCATAGGGTAACTATGTCCGGGCAATTTATAGCGTAGAGCTTCTCACGGCAAGTCTTGAAACCACTATACCCATCCGCATTTGGGCTAAGTAGAGTAAATATACTATATATCAGGCCGCTACTTTAGGGATGTTATATAAATTCAATTGAGTGGAGTGATATACACAGGTATATACTGTTACCAAATCAAGCCTTTTAACCCCACTTTCACATTTTGTCAATAAGTCCTCCCCTAGCTGCTGTAAGATGAAATCACCTCCCTCGCTGATGTTGTCCTCGCCGTACAATAGCCACTTGAACTTGACAAGTGCCACTTTATTGTCGGTTAGGGTCGTATCAACTCTATCCAGTTCAGTCTCAACATGCGAGTGAAGCAATAGGTCTAAGTCCCTGATGAGACCCTGCACGATACCAAGGACGTAAATCCTGACAGATGGCGATAATCTCAGCATCGAGGTCTGTGCGCAATGCTGAGACCATCTTGCCAGCTGCTGAGAATAGCCTCTCACATTCGGCTAGCATAGGCTGAATCGTCAGGAAGTCCAACACCATGCTAAATAAGCTGGGATAATTGCCTTTCTTCGTGATCCAGTAACGGATTAGATCGCGAACATTGCCATCACCGGCCTCACGATCCGTCTGCCACGCCTTTAAATTTAATACTTATATAGTATTTATTAAATTAAAAAATACTTTATAAAATCCTAGAAAGAAACAACTTCTTTTAGATTTTATTATTTATTTATAATTAAAAATCTTTAAAACTTTTTCTATTATTAGAAATAATAAATTTTATAATAAGTTTAAAATTTTATAATAAAGCTTTTTATAATTTTATATAAAATATAATAATAGAAAATATATATAAATTCTATTTAAAAGGATTAATATAAATAAAATAAGTTCTATATTAAGTTTTATAATTTTATATATAATATATAATATTATAATTTCTTTTTTAGTTTTTAGAATATTATAATAGTTATAATTATTAATATAAGATAATAATTTTAAAATATTAAAATAAAAAGCTAATATTTCTATAATATTTATTAACTAGGTTTTTATTTAAAATTAGTTTATTAAAAAAATATTTATTAATATTTTTTAATTTTTAATTTTTCTTTATATAATATTTTACTTTAATAACTTTTTATAAATTTAATAAAACTTATATATATTATATTAAAGAAACTTTATAATAATAAAAAGTATTTAATTAAGATCTTTATTAATAATTATTATAATATTAAAATATTAAATCTAAATAATAATATAATATTAATATTATTACTTATTAAGTTAATATAGTTAATAAGTAAGTTATATAG